ACGGGGAGCGCCGGGGGCGCAGCGCGGGGCCCCGCGAGCCGGAGCAGAGCCAGGGCAGGGGCGCAGGTGAGTGACCCCCGGCCTCTCCCCGCTCGGGACCGGCCGGGCCAGGGGAGCCCGGGTCTCGTGTCTGCTTCCCCGCCTGGCTCGGGGGGCGGACCCGTTGCTCTGCCCTTTGGGACCTGCGCTGGTTCCCCAGCCGGGCGGGGCTGGGGCCGGGATTCCCTCCCCTGCGCTTGGGCAGGGGTCGTGCAGCCAGCCTGCCAGGGGGTCTGAGCACCCCGGTGGGTTGGACAAGGTTGTTGCCCAGCGGCAGTCTTGAATTTAGGCTGGATTCCCAGTGCCTCACTGGAGTTGGGCATCCCATCCCGGGGCAGGTTACTGGGTGAAGTTGCTTTACTCCTCCTGCAGCCCCAGGTGCCTCTTTGGAAGACTTTAGTTTGGCGGGTTTCCTGCCCAGCTCCAGATCCGATTGTGGGATCGGCCCCCTCTGGTTTTGTTTCCAGATGGTGCTGGTGGGGAGGAAACTTCTGTGGGATTTAGGCAGGTGCTGTAGCTAGAGGGTGTTATGAAGCCAGGACGTGTCTGGCTGCACACTGCTAGTTTGGTTTTTAGGCAGTGCGGACTTGTTTCTCTCTCTGGCTTGGGCAATGAGTGCTCTCCTTCAGTGCCTGATGCAAATAAAGCTCACAAAAGTCCCTGGACATTTGTCTTAAATGGTATAGACTTCACTCAGATTTTCAGCTCCCAATTAATCACTGACACCACGTTCCTCCTCGTGTTGACATGTCTGTTCTAGTGATGACAAGAAGTGTTAGGGACTTAACATGAACATGCCCACAGTTGTCCTGTTGCCTAAGGTGGTGTTGGGTGACATCACCTCGGGGTGTGGAGTGCTGATCACTGTTCTCTGCATCTGTGGGAGCCTGGAAACTGCTTTAACCGAATGAATTGCAGAAATAAATTTGCTAGCAAACATCGTGATAATGCCAACCTTTACATCAATAAGATATATCTACCTTCCCATAATAACCCCATGGCTATTACGGCAATTGCTTAAATGGAGAAGTAACACTAGGTAGGTATTCCACATATGTTTAGTTGTCTTTTAATGTGGTTAACAGCTGGAGCAGCGATTGCTTTATGCATCATCCATCACCTGCGTATTATAGTTTGAGAAGTGCTCTGTTCTGACTTGCAGGTCAATCACTTTCATTACCCTTATTTTTAGGAACATAGAAATTGTTATATAAGATCCAATCATTTACCCCAATAACATGTCTTTGAAAGAGGCTACCACCAGCCAGAAAGTATAAAAGACCCCCTGGGTGATAAAAGGTTTTCCTTCCAGCTTGTTTTCTTCTAACTGCCTACCAAAGAGAAGAACCAAGCTCCAAATTGTGCAGTTTTGTTTTATTAGAGAGAGGTCAAAACAGACTGGGAGCCTAAGATGAGTGTTTTCCTAGTGAAACTTCTTGCTGGAATTCAGTGCAGGACTGTGGAAGAGGGGAAATTCAGAACCTAATGCAGAGAGAAAATGTGGCAAGAAGAGGGATTAAATCCACCGATCATTTGAGCACTGAAATTGGAGTAGGGGCGTTGGGGTTCAGTTCCCCCCTGGACCATGGGAGTAGTGTTGCAGAGCACCTCTTGCAAAGTGCCTTGACATCTGCTGAGGAAGTGCTATCTATGTAAGAGCTCAGTATACATAATGTTGAGAGATTCCTTGCAACTTAGTTCCTTTATCTTCTTGAGGTGTTTGGTGCAGGTGTTTGGTCCTGTTTGCTTCCACTTTTTTCTGTGTAGTGGACACACAATCTCGCCTCCTAATTGCAGTGCTCTGTGCTCCATTTTGCTTCCAGATGGATCCTGCATGATCTGGGTTTTCACATATATTGAGAGGATCTATGATGAGAGCCAGTTGCTTCATCAGAGAAATGACTCTGAACATAACTAAAAACTCCATATAGTTAGTAGCTGTCATCAGCAGCTGGGAAGCTTTTTTTAGGAGGGCCCAAGCATCAATTTTTGCAGAATTTAAGCTTTCATATTCTTTGCACAGCCCGTTTTTGATTGCAAAGGATGTTGTGCTTAGGCTCTGAGGAGGTTGACATGACTGGAGTCTGTATTCTTAGGGCCTCTACCCACATCCCCAGTTTCTCCAAGGAAAAGCAGAATTAAATTGGCAAGACTCGGATTAGTTCCACCTCTGCGGGACAGAGTGAACCTGACAAGAACCATGTTGACTTCACACTGATACGGCTTTGAGCTGAACTTGGCTCTCCTCTGTTCATGTTGGTAGGAACAAAAATACCAAGTCGGGAAGGAGAGAATGATGGAGATCTCCCTTCTCCTTGCAATAGTCAAGGAGGGGTTAGAATAACAAGGATGCCTTCCCCACCCACCTGCACATGCATCCCTTCGCCAGGCAGGGCGGCAGAAAGACTGAGCTGGCAAAGTACTTTTGGAAGAATCGCCTCTGAATCTCACTAGTGAGTTTAGAACTGGCTTTTACTGTGTTTCATTCTTTGGCTGGTAGTACAGGCATCTGGAAAACTCCCTGAGTGCCCATTCATTTTGTGTTTGCCAGGTAGGAGGTGATATCTGGGACTGGAGCAGAGGGGTGATGGAGTCCAAATAGAAACAGAAGCCTGGCTTATCTGTGCTATGCCAAGTGCATACAGGGAGACCTTTCGCAGGAAAGCATCCTGTTGCAATCCCAGCTCTTTCACTGTGGAGCCAGTGATAGTTTATACAACAGAGGTTTTAAGCCGCTAATCAGTTTGCTGGACATTTCCCCACTGCCTGTCACAAAACAGCCAGGCAGGAATTCAGCTGACAAGACTGGATTTGTTGCATGGTAGAAGGGGGTGGGGGAATTCTTCAGAATTGGGTGCCACAGTTCAACAGCTAGGTGTGGGAGTCCATGCCCAGTGCCAGCAATCTTGCCTCAAAGAGCACCTTCTACTGAGTCCTCTTGACTCCTAGTAAGACTACAACCTTTGCTCTGAAGGTGATTCTGAGCCCATGCTGATACAAAGCAGCTGGTATAAAAGTCTGGCCAAGAATGGGAAGCTGCCTTTTCAGTACTCGAATAGAGACTACTGGTGTACCTGGAAAGTGATTGATTAGCAAGGAGCTGAGTGTTTTGACTTGTGGAAAAGGGCTGGATTTGCTGGTGCCATGTTTTGATGCCAAGGGAGCTCATGGAGATGAATTTTAAAGACAAGATACAGGAATAGGAGTTAAGAGATCCAGGTTTATAGTCCTGTCTCTTTTACTGGGCCAATCATTTAGCTTGTAGGTGCTTTCTTTTCCTCATATCTAAAATAAAGGCAGTGATACTTTCCTATACTAGAAAGCATTCATGCTACAGATTAGTGCTAAGTATTGTCACAAGGTCTTGTCATTGCCATGCCCAGCACTTGTGGGTTCTAATAAAATAGAAAATCCCAGACCTTATGGGTCCTTAAATAGTCAGCCTAATGCATCCAGTGAGCTGGTCTGGAAATAACCTGAGCTCTGCCAAGGGATTAATAGTTCCCTCAACATCCTCTGCATTAAACAGAGTTTAAATGAAAGGATTTACCTGGGTGATGTTGCCTGTTCATGTACCAGCCCCTGAACCTTCCTACTTGTGTATGGTATGAAGTCCCTTTCATTCGTCGGAAGGAAAAGCTCCAAGTAGGGGCATGTAGCACAAGTATCTGTGCCCTTGGGTCAAGGCTCATCAGTGACTCTCCAGCACCCCATTTATAGGTGGAGAGCTTGAGCCACAGAAAGTCTAAGAAATGTGACCAAAGTCATGTGGGGAATCTGGCAGAGTAGGGACCTGAACTCATATTGGCTGAGTTCATACTGGTGCCCCAACTACTGGACCAGCCTTTACTTTCCCCAGCTCATTACTTGCAAGGTGTTTGTCTTCGCTGTGCTAAAGCTTCTCTTTGATGTCTTCTTGAGTGGCCAGGAGAAGGAGAGCCAGTTAAATGGGAGGGTGTCCTGTGTTAAGTCTTATTGCATAGCCAATTGCTAGGGTCCCTCCCCAAGCAGTTCACTTCCTAATTGCCTGGCAGCTTAGGTATGAAACTGCCATGAATCATCTGGCCCCAGCAGTGTTGGGTCATTGATCTGTGGCCTGATCTCCACTCCATATGGTTAAGGCAGTGGCAGATGTTCTGTAGGGAGCAACAGTACATCATTGGGGAGGGGGCTTGATGCCTGAATAAGGTCTCTTCCATCTGCAACTGCTGCTGATTGGGTTCTTTACCCCCAGGACAATCTGGCCTCAGTGCAGCATCTGGTTATCAGCAGGCTGCTTGCTTTATCTTCTGGCTTTCATCTGGATTAGTTGGGGGCACAGGGGTCAGTTGTTTTTTTGTTGGAGGCTGTCCAGTGCGTCAGAGGCTCAGGTGGGATTAAGACACAGGCTCTTCCAGGTTCTTTGCTCTCCATAGTCCCTGGAGCTACAGTAAACCCTAATTACAGGTAGCAAGAGCACCTGCCTCTTACTAGCCAACTTCTCCTTTGCAGCCCAGAGGGCTCCCCCTATGTGACTTGGATATCTGTGGCTTTACAGTAGTGGTACAGAGAACAGTGCTCTCAGCAAAGCTGTGTCCCCCTGGCTTTGTAGGTATACTCTACCAATATTCCTTTGCAGTAGAGCTCTCCTTGTATAGACACAGCCTTTGGAAACCAAAGGTAGCTGGTATAACAGGCTGATAAAGCTTTCCAAAGACTGTTTTCTCTCTTGGAGATGCTATGGGCTTTTCTACATCACGGAGCCCCCCAGTAGAGATACTGTGTGTGTTGGCAAGAAGGAGCAGTGGCTGGCTACACCACATCCTTAAACAATGAAACTGAGGGACTAAATCACCCCTTTGTCAGCATGGCTGCTTCTGTGCCAGGAGACCCTGCCAACACAGCCGTATCTGCAGGGGGAGCAGTCTTTCATGCTTCAAGCTGACGCAGCTCTGCTGGCAGAACTCTACAGCATAGATCAAGCATCACAGTGGTGCAATAGCTAATGATTCAGTAGCCACTCCATCTCCTTCTGGTAACCTGGGATCACACAGCAGGCTCCAGGTTAAATCAGCTGGGATATCTTGGCTCAGTCCCCACCTGACTTCTTTTTATTGCTCAGGCAGTCCAACATTCCTGTTTTGCATGATCATCACTCTGCTCAGCACATGATAGCTGCAGCAGATTGTGTCCTGAGTCAGGATCACATTGGCAAATCAGCTGGCAGCACTGTCCATAGATCCTGTCTGCTGTGTCCTTCTCTGTCTGGCGCTGTCAGCTTTCCACATCAGTTGGCACAAGTTTAACCAATGTGTACAGGCTCTTCGGAGACTAGTTAATTCCCCAGAGGCACCTAGAGAGCTAGTTAAACTCCAGCACTGGACAGGAGGATGTGAGAATGGGTCTTGGCCCCTGGGAGCATAGTCGGAAGTCCAAGGTGGAGTTTCTTCTCCAGCTGCCCTAAACTGCTTCCTTAGCTTGTTACTGGCATGACCAGCTTCCCTCTGCTACTGCTTTCTGGTCCTGCAGCCAGTGTCCATGAAGACAGGAAAGCCCTGCCCTGGATTCTGGATCTGCTCTGTTCACATGGGCAAGACAAGCAGCAGAATTGGATGGGGAATACAGAGCTTTGGGAAGTGTCCTTAGGAGGAGGTGATGGCAAAGAGGAGGGAGCAGTGCAGAGCTCTTGCTGGCAAAGGAGGAGCTGGGTTGATTGATCACAATCACTGCCTTTAGTCACTTTTTCTACTGCAGGGCAGGGGGGGAAATAGGCAGACTCTAAAACCCCCTGGTTTAAACTTTATTGCCCTCTCCACCTCAGAAGGAAGCCCACTGGAATGGTTGCCTCCAGGCTCTCAGAGTAGGAGCCAGTCTCTGCAGTCTGCTCCCTGATCCTATCAGTGACACACAGGCTGCCCAGGCCCTTGCAAAGCAACCTTGGGGTAGCTTGGATTGCTCTGGATGGGCTGGGGATGGCACTGCAGACCTCTGGAGCCAGAGCTGGGAGGAGGCACCTGCCTCTTGGACAATAAGGCCATCATAGCAGTGAACACTGCAGCTGGCAGAGGAGGAAATGGAGGTGGTGAAGGGGGAAGGTGACACAAGGCAGCTGCTGGCCTGGGGGCCATAGGCAGAGCTTGGCATGCAGAGTCTAATTGGATAATAGTCTAGTTGGGTCTCATGAAGCAGCGCCTGGAAACGGCCTGCCCTGTACTGGAGACAAGCACCAAAATCCAGTATTGCCAACCCCATTATGTCAAAAATCATGATAATTGTGATGTAAATCATGAGATGCTATTTTTGAAGTGTTTGTGCACGTGATTCCTGGGGCAAAGGCAGCAAGGTGCAGAGCCCCAGCCTGTAGCAGGCAGCCTGCCTCTGGGCCACATGCCTTCCCCAGCCCTGGGGCCCCATTCACCCCAGTCCCTGCCACACTCCCTCCTTCACTGTGGGGACCTCCATCTTCCACTCCACAGACTTACCAGCTTGGCACCGTGTACATGTGTCAGAAGAAAAAATCCCGAAATTTGATCTCTCTATCAGGAGATCATGAGTCAGAGTTAATTTGGCTTGGAAATCAGGAGTCTCGTGATTTTTTTTCATTAGAGCCAGCTTTACTGAAAGTCTGTCACAAGCGGTGTGAAGCCAAGCAGGCTCTGCTTTGCCAGTCTCGCATATATGGTCAAGCAGGCAATCCTTGATGGGACTGTCTCAGTGAACCAGCTCTACCCAGTCCCACTACCTGTTCTTTCGAATCTCCCTTCCAAGTCTGTCCTAAAGCCATTTGCCATGAACCCACCCCCGCACCCCTACCTACTCGACTTAGTGCAAGGTTGGGGGCTGCTGAGGGCAGTGTGAAGGCAGCCCCTGGTCTCTGAAGGGTTTTGTCCTTTGTGGCCAACCTGAAGCAGCATCTAAACAGAATGCAGGGCTCTTCTTTCCTGAAATCGCCTACTGCAGAACAACAAGACCCTTCTCCACCATGCCCGGAGTAGTTGTGTCAAAGGACACAGAGCAAAGCATCCCGGCTCTGACCAGACCTGCAACTTGTACTACAGGTCACTTGTGTGGTAGCAGATAATGGACACGCAGCAAAGGGACCAGGGCTGTCTAATCTGGCTGCCCAGTAATGGGTGTGAGCAAAGGTGTCGTGTGCCTGCATAGGGCCAGGAAGACTGGCTTCAAGCTGCTAGCAGTTTAGAGGTGTGAAGGGGTCTGTGTCAGGTGAGGATGGAGCTCTGATCACCCTGGCAGCACCCAACCCCTGCAGCTGACCAGATACTTTTAGGGTGCCAACTGCAGTGGGGCATTGGCTAGGGAGAGTAGGCGGGCCAAGGTTCAGTTTCTGGCTGGTGGGAGTTGCCGGCATCTGATCTCCCCATGGCTGCTTCTGTAATTGGTGCCAGGGCCAAGTATGCCCTGGTGCCTGCAAGGACATGACCTGGCATTTGCATGTGCTGGAGAAGAGCAGGTTTCTGGTGGTGACATGAGGCCTCTGCTCCTCTTCCCTGCAGCAAGCTGGTGGGTGTGCTCTTCCTCTTCATCCCACTGCCACACATTCCTCTTGGGACCAGCCACTTCAGTTGTTCAACCCAGAAGTGCTGCTGACTTACTTCCCTTTCCCCTGCACACTCATTAGCAAATGCAGAGGTATGCATTCTGCTTCCTCTGACTTATAGGGAGAGGCTCTTGTTACTAATGAAACTGCTGATGGGTCTGGGCTTTCAGCTCATAATCCCATGCGATCTTGCAAGTCCCTGAATGAAGAGGCTGATGTGTAACCCCACATAACATTTATGAGCACGCGCTTGCCAGAGACCTCAGCCCAGTGAGCAGTTGCGAGAAACCCAGTCTGCACACTGTCTTTGAGTGAAAGCAGTATCTGTCTTACTCAGCCCCTCTCACTAGTTACTAGAGGGTCCCCACAGATATGGGGAAGTCTTGGTGCCTGGCTAATACAGTGTTGATTCCTGTGTTGCAGGTGCCGATGCAAAGCCTATAGGACAGTCCCACAGCGAGAGCAATGATGCGGGGGTGGCAGATGGTCGACGACACCAGAGAGGACGCGGTGAACACCGGAGACACACCATCACCAATGGTGTGGATTACAGCATGGTAGGGGCACTGTCCTGTCCTGGATACCCACCCACCTACCCTGGCTCGTGGGCAGGCCTAGAATTTTGAAAAGAGGGTGCAGATGGTGAGGTGCATCATCCCATATAATACAACACATTTTTGTCCTGTTAAAAATAAACTAGAAGCTTTTATAAACTGATAGGGGCCTAGGGTTATATTATTCAGTTTAAGATTGAAGTAAAAACAAATATATTTTAATTGCAATGAGTTAAAAACAATCTGTAGGGTTGTGAAATAGGGGCTTAATTCCCAGGAGTGGCTAACAGGCAGCAGAGTTGCAGGACAAGGAATAGCTTGATTGGTGGAGCATCAAGACCATTTATAAAAAAGAGGGTTGTTCACGCCTGTGGAATGAAGAGTTTAGAAGGAATCAGGTAGATTATAAAGAGTCATGAAGTCAGTTGACTCCCTCAGCGCTGCCTGACTAGAGATGCTGTTGCCACTGCCAGGTTGTTGGTTTTAAACTTTAGGTGGAGCAGTGATCAAAAGGGGCTGTAAGTGCATCAGTGCACCCCTCCACCCTCCTGCCCAGGCTCAGCCCTGCCACCCTAAGGGAAACCTGCTCTCCCTTCCCAGCTGTCCCCTGTTGTGTAGGTGATGGTTCTTTGCCATCTCATTTGTGGTCCACCCCTGACACTTCATAGCTGAACTACTTTTGGGTAGCTTGATATCTAGGCTTTCTCACCTAATGGTCAGATCTTGCTCCTGCTTTGCAACGAGAAATCTTTTAATATGTGATGTGCAGCGGAGCTGCTTGCAAGGTTTCTCCTCTCCTGCAGCACTCTAAACTTGGTCGGGTTTAAGTTTGCCTCTCTGGGCTTGTGGTGGCCTATGGTACCACCAGCCTCTAATGCTCTGGGGTTGTGAGGGGGCAGAATTTGTGCCCTCCGTCTGCTCTCAATGATGGAGGTACACGCAGGTCCAGATGCAACATCACTGAAGTCAGCTGTGCTCTGTGCAGGTGCAGAGTTCTGTCAGGGCTCAGGGTATTGCTGGATCAGGGATTTAAACATGAGAGGGGCACATCCTCTATTCTGTCTCTTTGTATTGCAATATCTGTAGGTGAGTGATGGAGAATCTCCCCTGTACAGTGCCCCCTCTGCCACCTTCTGTACCAGTTACCAGGCATAACAGGCAGGGAACAGAACATGGCAAAGCAAGGCTCCATTATGTCTGATCACCAACTGGCACAAATTCTTTGAGCCCTTTTCCCAGCAGCATCAAATAGACTTGCTCCTCTGTTTTAATTTGCTTGGAGCTGGTGAGTGCAGGACTGGGGAGTCTGCTTCTCTTTACTGGGGTGGGATATCTGCCTCTAGATAGCTGTCACATACAGTAGTCTTACCACATAGCAGGGCACTATGGGCACTATCAGCTTGCTTCCCTTACGCAGGGTGAATGCACCTAGCAAGCCTGCAAATCCTCCCTTTGGGTAGGCTGCACTGTTATCTGCAGTGCAGTCTCCTGCCTCTGGGATCCTGCATACAACCGAGTCTCCCAGTGCTGATCTGAGTGGAGCTGATGGAGTGCGTGGGGTGCCTTTGTAGCATTGATTAGGTCAGTGCATCAGCTTCTGGCTGCATGACACTGCGTGCTGGCCAGGCTGTGCAGGAGGTGGGGGGCAGGGTTTGGTGCAGGCCTGAATGCGGAGCTCATGTGCTTGTGTTGCAGCAGTGCTGAGTGAATCTCACTAGGAGAGGCTTGTGGCTCAGGGAGGCTGTGGGATGAGGGCTCTGCCTCAGTTCAACTTAACCAGGCACTTGGTGTCACCGCATTTGAGCTGGGGTTCTTCGCTGAGGGACTTATGGGCCAGGGGGAGTTCCAGTGTCCGCACAGCTCTCCAATACTGGGACCAGCCTTGTGGGTCCCTGTCACTGGTGCGTGAGGTAGAGGAGGGAGGCAGGGTGGGTTGGGGTTAAGGCACTGGACTGGGGAAACAGGGTTCAGTTCCTGACTGTATCTCTGAGTAAGTCATTTGCCCTTGCTTCTCTGTGCCTTGGTTTCCCCCTTGGCAAACTGGCAGTGGCAGTGGTGACAATGCCTTGAGAGACCCATCGTGTGGTTCTCCTGAGCCCCTCTCACTGCAGGAACCGAGTGCCCTGCCATCCAAACACACTTATCTTCACATGACTACTGGGAGGTGGGGATCTCGGCACAGAGTTGCCAAACGATTTGCCTGAGGTTGCACTTGCTGCTGTCTGGGGAAGTGGAGCAGGAATTGATCCTGGCTCTTCCCTGACTGGCGGCTGCTGTAACCACTAGTTTCACCTTCCTTGGGCAGGGGTGGTGGAATGTTCTCACTGATCAGCCTAAAACCAAATCAGCCCCTCCAGGGAATGCTTCTGTATTTGGACAGAAGGTGCTGGATGCTGAAGTGTGCCCCGAGCCTGCCTGTCTCAGTGGTGTCCATGAGCTGGGGAGAGGAGGGAGTTAGGATCTGCCCCTCTCCCACAGGCAATGCAGAGGCTCCGGCAGGGTGGGAGCCAGGACAGCGAGCGTCTGGCTATCATGTTTTTCACTTAGCCCACTGATCGGCCTGTTCCCCCATGGTTTCTCTGCAGCTGGGATGAAGCTTTTTACAAGAGGTAAACGTATTCATCAGCAACCTGGTGGCAACCTCCACAAGTTCTGCCCTCCCCATTTAAGTGGAAAGGGGCCACTCTTCTTCCTCCCATCCTGGAAACCACCTCCTCCAGCAGCTGCGACCTGCTGCTGGCATGCCTGATGCACCCCATCCTTCCACAGAGCAGAGATGGCATTGTCCCACCAGCAGGCAGGACACTGTCTTGTACTCTGGTCACCACGTTAGCTAGCTGGGCAAGGCCCAGAGGGACCGTGGCAGAGCATTCTGCCAAGAGCTGCGGCCGGAGCTGGATGGGCGTCCTTGCGACATACAGCACCCTCCTTGTGCCTCTGAGCAGCAGCCAATGCAGTGCCAAGGCCTTGCAGTTTTTTCTGTGGGTACGTCCCATGCTGTCCTTCTGTCTGTCTGGCATTGCAGATGGGGTTGTGGAAAGTGGAAGGAGAGAGACTGGGTCAGCTTGGCTGCTCCGCAGCTCTGGAGGGCTGTGTATGGGGCTAGAATGGGTGGCAGTGGGGTGTTCTGGGGAGGTATCCCTGGCAGGCTGCATGAAGCAGTGGCTTGGCTGGTCACCCTCCAGTTTGCCCCTCTTTTAAGGAAGCAGGTGTGGTGTGTGAATCTGTTGCCTTTAGTGCTGTGAGCTGAGCCGTGCCTAGTCTCTTAAGTCCTTTGTGTGTGGTGTCAGAGAGGTGTGCTGAGGGCTCCACACCAAAGCTCTCTTGAGCTTGTCAGTGAGGCTGGCTCTGTCTTCACATGCAGGTGTCCCTGGGCCACTTGCTGTCGTGATGAGTTCACATGAGGGTTGAAGAACAGCCCAAGGGCTTGGGCTCCCAGACTTGGCGCTAGTGGTCCAGGTCCTGGGATGAGGGACAGGACGCCCGGGCTGACTGTGGGACTAGGCTACAACCCCTTGGGAATGAAACGCATGATGTTCAGAAACCCTCCCGCCTGTCCCTCTCCAAGGAAGGGTGTCAGGGGAGAGAATCTCATGTATTTTCCTCTGCCATTTTGTATGTTTTTGTCCTTCCTGAGTGCTTGGAGCATAGGGGGATGGTGGAAATGCCTGGGCTTTATCTGGAGAGCCATCTACTCTCCTATTACAGGCACCAGTCCTTCTGGTGTCTCTAGGAATTGCCTTGGGAGGGAGTTATCACACTCCCCCAGATCTGATGTCTTGTCCCTGCCAAGAGAACAAAAGCCAAAGCAGAGCAACTCCAAGCTGCTGGTGCTTAAATAACAGCCCCGAGCCATACGATACCTTGGCATTGTCTCTTGTCAGGGAGATCTACAACCTTTTGGTTTCTAGGGTGCTTGTTCTTTGTATCCCATTTTCATCCTCACGCTTTGGGTTCCTTCTTCCTTGTTGCAGATGCATACATGTGAGCCCCATCTGTCCGGATGGCTGATATCTCCCTGGGTGATGTCTCCTCCCTGGGTGACTAGGGATTACTCTTCCTTTTCATCATGATTAAAGCTGGTGACCTACTTGCAGCCTCTGGGCAGCACTGAGCTGCTTTATACCCACCCCTGAGCTACACCCAAAGTTTGTCTCGCTAAATATTCGCTCCAGCCATTTTGCTGCCAAGATTTTTCATTGCACCTGGGAACAAAGATCACTGGCGCAGGGCTGAGTCCTATCTCAAGGATGCTGTGGACCATGGTGGGCCTCCTGTTTCTGCATTCTCCAGAGGTTAGGACTCTTCTCTGTCCATGGCGGGTCCAAGTCAACAGTGTCCATGGCACCATCAACCTTAAGTGACTGACTTCATCCCAAAGGTCCAAAGTCACTAGGCAACCACCTAAAGTCCAGCTCTTGTATAGAAGCCTGTGCAATGTTTTCTGCTCTGTTTTGAGAATATTTGACTGCAACTCAGGTGGGGCAGAGTTAAGGTGATGATGGTTCTCAGAGCTCCTGATATGAGAGGGGCCAACATAACCTTGTTTTAGTTTTTTAGCATGTGCATTTAGCTCAAGTGTTCCTGGAAGATCATACACCTTCAGCATGCTGGTGTGAGCCTGTAACATTCATGTTAAGTGGGAGTGTGCTGTCTACAGTTAGGCAGCTAGAGTTAGAAAATGCTGAGTTAAATTAATAAAGGCTGGGATTGCCAACAAAGCCCATTGACTTTCATTAGGATCTGGGCACCTAATTCCCCTAAGTATCTCTGTAAAATTGTAGCCTCCAGCAATGGACTGTCTGAAATCAGAGCACAGCCCCTTGGAGGTTAAATAGCAGGTTTCAGCAAAGTGATAAGGGGAATCCTTTCCTCTGACTATTCCTAAGGCAGAAGTGGGGGGTGGATCTCCTGCTGTGGTTCCTTGGGCTGTAGAGCTGGGATCTCAATGCAAGGTTTTCTATTGAATCAGCCTGTTGTTAAGTTGTTGCAAGATAGCAATAGACCTCACCCAGTCTGGTAGAGGAAGAGACCTGTCATGATTCTCCCAAGCTTGTGTGACATGCATCTGAATGAACCAGGGGGAGAAACCTTTTCCTTATATGGCAAGGATCTGCTGTGGGAAAGCCCTCATTGGAAGAACATGCTCTCTGGTGGTCCAGCTTCTGCCAGGTCTGTAGAAGTCACAGGGCCTCCTGTTGCGTTAGGCTGGACTGGTAGGTCACTGAAACATAAGTGCAGTGAAAAGGCCACACTAGGTGCATCTACATGCGATGTTTACTGCTGAGATGTCTAATTAGCTCTACAAGACGCATCTCAGCGTCTACACATGCGGGGCTATTAGGCTGGAGTAAACCAAAAAACTCTGCCACAGGTTAGTACCTGTAAATACAAGTATTATCTCACAGCAAAGTTTTTTTTACTCTGTAGCAACACATGTAAATGCTGATGGGCTGGCTGGGGCACAAGTGTGCTTCAGTGCGGGAGCTGCCTGTCAGCTAGCCCCACACTGAAGCACCCTCTTGCCCCAGCCAGCCCCTCCACAGTGCATTGAGCTGGCAGGCTGACCCCCCTGGGCCTTCTGCCAGCCAGGGCTGCTCCAACCAGGCTCAATGTGTGGAGGGAGAGAGACTGGGTCAGCTTGGCTGCTCCGCAGCTCTGGAGGGCTGTGTATGGGGCTAGAATGGGTGGCAGTGGGGTGTTCTGGGGAGGTATCCCTGGCAGGCTGCATGAAGCAGTGGCTTGGCTGGTCACCCTCCAGTTTGCCCCTCTTTTAAGGAAGCAGGTGTGGTGTGTGAATCTGTTGCCTTTAGTGCTGTGAGCTGAGCCGTGCCTAGTCTCTTAAGTCCTTTGTGTGTGGTGTCAGAGAGGTGTGCTGAGGGCTCCACACCAAAGCTCTCTTGAGCTTGTCAGTGAGGCTGGCTCTGTCTTCACATGCAGGTGTCCCTGGGCCACTTGCTGTCGTGATGAGTTCACATGAGGGTTGAAGAACAGCCCAAGGGCTTGGGCTCCCAGACTTGGCGCTAGTGGTCCAGGTCCTGGGATGAGGGACAGGACGCCCGGGCTGACTGTGGGACTAGGCTACAACCCCTTGGGAATGAAACGCATGATGTTCAGAAACCCTCCCGCCTGTCCCTCTCCAAGGAAGGGTGTCAGGGGAGAGAATCTCATGTATTTTCCTCTGCCATTTTGTATGTTTTTGTCCTTCCTGAGTGCTTGGAGCATAGGGGGATGGTGGAAATGCCTGGGCTTTATCTGGAGAGCCATCTACTCTCCTATTACAGGCACCAGTCCTTCTGGTGTCTCTAGGAATTGCCTTGGGAGGGAGTTATCACACTCCCCCAGATCTGATGTCTTGTCCCTGCCAAGAGAACAAAAGCCAAAGCAGAGCAACTCCAAGCTGCTGGTGCTTAAATAACAGCCCCGAGCCATACGATACCTTGGCATTGTCTCTTGTCAGGGAGATCTACAACCTTTTGGTTTCTAGGGTGCTTGTTCTTTGTATCCCATTTTCATCCTCACGCTTTGGGTTCCTTCTTCCTTGTTGCAGATGCATACATGTGAGCCCCATCTGTCCGGATGGCTGATATCTCCCTGGGTGATGTCTCCTCCCTGGGTGACTAGGGATTACTCTTCCTTTTCATCATGATTAAAGCTGGTGACCTACTTGCAGCCTCTGGGCAGCACTGAGCTGCTTTATACCCACCCCTGAGCTACACCCAAAGTTTGTCTCGCTAAATATTCGCTCCAGCCATTTTGCTGCCAAGATTTTTCATTGCACCTGGGAACAAAGATCACTGGCGCAGGGCTGAGTCCTATCTCAAGGATGCTGTGGACCATGGTGGGCCTCCTGTTTCTGCATTCTCCAGAGGTTAGGACTCTTCTCTGTCCATGGCGGGTCCAAGTCAACAGTGTCCATGGCACCATCAACCTTAAGTGACTGACTTCATCCCAAAGGTCCAAAGTCACTAGGCAACCACCTAAAGTCCAGCTCTTGTATAGAAGCCTGTGCAATGTTTTCTGCTCTGTTTTGAGAATATTTGACTGCAACTCAGGTGGGGCAGAGTTAAGGTGATGATGGTTCTCAGAGCTCCTGATATGAGAGGGGCCAACATAACCTTGTTTTAGTTTTTTAGCATGTGCATTTAGCTCAAGTGTTCCTGGAAGATCATACACCTTCAGCATGCTGGTGTGAGCCTGTAACATTCATGTTAAGTGGGAGTGTGCTGTCTACAGTTAGGCAGCTAGAGTTAGAAAATGCTGAGTTAAATTAATAAAGGCTGGGATTGCCAACAAAGCCCATTGACTTTCATTAGGATCTGGGCACCTAATTCCCCTAAGTATCTCTGTAAAATTGTAGCCTCCAGCAATGGACTGTCTGAAATCAGAGCACAGCCCCTTGGAGGTTAAATAGCAGGTTTCAGCAAAGTGATAAGGGGAATCCTTTCCTCTGACTATTCCTAAGGCAGAAGTGGGGGGTGGATCTCCTGCTGTGGTTCCTTGGGCTGTAGAGCTGGGATCTCAATGCAAGGTTTTCTATTGAATCAGCCTGTTGTTAAGTTGTTGCAAGATAGCAATAGACCTCACCCAGTCTGGTAGAGGAAGAGACCTGTCATGATTCTCCCAAGCTTGTGTGACATGCATCTGAATGAACCAGGGGGAGAAACCTTTTCCTTATATGGCAAGGATCTGCTGTGGGAAAGCCCTCATTGGAAGAACATGCTCTCTGGTGGTCCAGCTTCTGCCAGGTCTGTAGAAGTCACAGGGCCTCCTGTTGCGTTAGGCTGGACTGGTAGGTCACTGAAACATAAGTGCAGTGAAAAGGCCACACTAGGTGCATCTACATGCGATGTTTACTGCTGAGATGTCTAATTAGCTCTACAAGACGCATCTCAGCGTCTACACATGCGGGGCTATTAGGCTGGAGTAAACCAAAAAACTCTGCCACAGGTTAGTACCTGTAAATACAAGTATTATCTCACAGCAAAGTTTTTTTTACTCTGTAGCAACACATGTAAATGCTGATGGGCTGGCTGGGGCACAAGTGTGCTTCAGTGCGGGAGCTGCCTGTCAGCTAGCCCCACACTGAAGCACCCTCTTGCCCCAGCCAGCCCCTCCACAGTGCATTGAGCTGGCAGGCTGACCCCCCTGGGCCTTCTGCCAGCCAGGGCTGCTCCAACCAGGCTCAATGTGCTGCAGTCCCGGATGGACATGTAAACACAGTGCCCAGGAGCAATAAATTCTGGCACAATATGCACCAGAGTGTATTGCTGCACGTGAATATGCATGTGTAGACACACCCACTGAGTTTGAGCACATAAATGTGTCTAGACGAGTTGCATCCAGATATTTCCTCAAGAAGAGGGTGGAGCCACCTTTCAAGACAGATGAGGCATCTGTGTAGTACACAACTGAATTCCTGTTTGTGCCATGGCTAGAACCAGCTCCTGGTCAAACAGAGTGAAGCTTTGTCGTGGCTTTGAGCTGGACCCATGAGCTGGAGTGACTCGAGCTTTCCGCTAGGTCATGGATGGCTTCAGAGCAGAGGGTGATGGGCCTGTCTCTGAACACCTGGCATTGGTCTGCTCCAGGGGATAGCAGCTTATTCCTAGGGTAGACGTGTATATGATCTATGGCCTTTGGGTCTAATGATGGGGCATGAAGGGTACATGGGTTTTGTCTTGCAGCTGAAGCAAATGAAGGAGCTGGAACAGGAAAAGGATGTCTTGCTTCAGGGGCTGGAGGTGGTGGAGCGTGTCCGGGAGTGGTACCACCAGCAGATCCAGATGGTGCAGGAACACCAGAAATACCTGGGCAAAAACAAAGCCAACAATGTGAGTCTAGGGTTTGTTCTGGGGGTTGGCTTGCCAAGGCACATCCCTGCCTGGCAGAAGCTGGGTCTGGTTAGGCCTCAAGTTTGGAAAGGACCTGTGTTCTAATGTCACCTTCCCTGGAAGGTCCAGTGGAGCTGGGGGGTGGGGTTTTCAGAAACACTCAGCTCTGATTGCACCCAGGTGCCCTGGCTTCAGGGGCAGCTGAGTCAGGTGTGCTCAAAAGCATGCCCCACAAATCAGGAGCTGGGCACATGTGGACATGCATCTGAGGAGGGGGTCGGGGCAGCTGGGATCATTTGCTTGTGAAGGAGCTGTGGGAGACAGCAGGTCAGATCATCTTCCCCTCTCTTATTTCATGAAAGCCGAGCAGCTCCTGACAGTAAATGACAGGGAGCCCTGCTTTGCCTGGCTTTGATCTACCCTGTGGGAGCCAATTACAAGATCACTCAGCCCCTGTGCAAGCATTGGCCCTTGACATTGCTGAGGCTTAGTGCTGCTTCCACCAAGGTGAAACTTCATAGCCCAAGCCAGCTCAATGGTGAGAGCGAGTGTGTGATAAAGAGAAGGATATCCCTAATGCCCATGGACAGCCCAGCTAGCTCTGCCATCCCAGATCATGGCAGGGTTGCCCTATGGGCACCAAGAAGGATCCCTGTCTCCCCTTTCTTAAGCATGTACACATGCACCTCTGCAGCCTTGCTCAGCTGCCTAGGCTTTGTGCTCTGGCAGATCTTGTGTCCTGGTGACTTTGTAACTGGGTAGGAGCCAGAGGAGGCTCCTTTATACCCATACCACTCTGCTGGCTAGAGGAAAGCACATTTCCATCCAGGGCCTGAGGTCAGCACTGGCTGAAATAGACTCACTGTGCCCTCCCTGCTTTGCACGCCAGCCTGGCCGTTGGGGACAAGTCCAGTGCAATCAGTTCTGTGATAAGGGACATGTGCAGATATTACAACAGCCAAAGGGCTCTTCTGTCCACATGCGGCAGCAACTGGAACCTTTGGGGACTGGCTCCTTGTTCTGCTTGCCAACCCCTGTTTCTGTCCTCAGGACTTCCTCCCAGAAGGGAGCCAAAGCCACCTGGGCCGCCTCCTACCTAAGCTGCAGGAAGTGATCCACTGCCTCTCTGAGCTCCTCGCCACCTCGGGGAAGGTGAGCATTGTGTGTCTATAAGGCCAGGCCCTTTGTTCCAGGCGTGGCAGCCTGCATTGATCTCTACTGCAGTGCCAAAAGCTCCATGGATAGAGTGATCAGACCAGCAGTAGGAGCTTATGGAGGACCACAGGGGTACCCAGGGCTTCAGATAAGAGATGTGAGGTGGCACCTGGAGAGCACTGGATCTAATGCAGCCAGGACATAAGCTGCATTTGCAAACCAGTCCATGAAGCCCCAGTGTGTCCCAGAGTGATGCATCTTGGCAGCATCTGTCAAGGGATTAGGCATGAAGTCCATAATTAAAACATCCTGTACTGCAGGACTCCAGCCCCTTTCTGGGACCAGCCACTGTCGAAGCCAGGGTGCTGAGCTAGACATGCCTCTGATGTGACAGTCTGGCAGTTCCCTGTGATGCCAGTTAATGAGCTGTGACTTGTTTGCTCTAGTCTGGAGCAAGATTCTAGAGCCTCTTTCCCCTGCATGCCCAGGAGAGATCAGCTCTGAGGGGAAGGGCTGCTGGCACCCTTGGAAGATGGGAGTCCTGTACCTTGGGAGAGAAGGGTGGGGGTGTAACTCAGCTACACCCATCCTGTCGGAGCCAAGCTGCTCCCTTCTCTTTACTTTCCTGCAGCCCTGACCCTGCTCCCCTTGCTGCTTTCAGCCAAGCAGAATCCTTGCTCCAGGGAAGGTGGAAGATGGGGAAGGCTGAAGCACTCTAAATCTCTTTAAGTACAGGTAGATTGCATGGGCCTAGCAGTGATCTTGCAGTGCTCTCTGCTGGCTGAGGTGTGTACTGAAATATCAGGGCCTCTGCTGGGGCAGGGCTTTGCAATGAACTACCTGCAGGAGGCAGGTCTGAAGAGAGAGGCAGGACCAACTAGTGGCCCCAAGCAGGAAGAAGAAGAAAGGCAGGGGGGGGGTGGGATCTCCTGAGGCAGAGCCCAGCCCTAGTGGTTTCCAGTAATCATATCATGCAGCCCTGCTTACAAACTGATCCAACCCCATCCTAAAAGGCTCTCCTTCCCCCCCAGGCTCCTGCTACTCCTATTTCAGGGCTGCTCCAGAACCTTGCTGCTGATGGTGACAAGTCTTCCACCAACCTCCGGCTTAAGCTGCCACATGGCTAGGTCACACCCTTGTGCTACCACGGTCCTGTAGCTTCTACCAGCTCTTCCCCCTCCCTGCTTGCCCCTAGCTCTGTTTACAGACAGCCCTTCCCTTGCCTTAGTTTTACTGGGCTAACCAACCCAAGCTCTTTGTGTTGTCCCAAAAAGGCTCTCCTTTCCTTGTTTTTTCCTGCAGCCCTCTGCACCTACTCCAGGCTGACCAGCATTTCAGCCAGCATCCTAGTGAAAGCCTTATTTGTGTCTTCAGAGGAGGAGGGAGAACATTTTTGGGTGGGAGGGGCTGAGCACGCATGACCAGGCAGAGATCAGGAGGAAGCTGAGCTGGGCCCAGGATCGGGGGCCACCCCTTCCCCTGTGCCCAGGGTCATTGCCTGGTGCTGGCACTCCCCGCACCAAGGAATCTGCTGCCCTCCAGCCCCACATCGCCTAGGGGCAGGAGCCGGAGCCAGGGGCTGGAATGGGGCCTGCCTTGGCTGCGCTGCTGGGCCAGAGGGAGCAGAGCCCCCAGGACTCCCGTGCCCACCCTGCTCCGAGTCATCCCTGGGAAGAGCCCGGCACAAGCCCAGCCCCAGCCTGCAACGGCAGCCTGCCTTGCCCCACGCAGATCTGGGGGCACATGCCCCCATGCCTCCTGGGGTCTATCAACAGGAGCCATGCACCCTGGACAAGCTGCCCATGGCTCAGTCCCATTCCCCACTGGCTATGCAGTGATTTCTCCTCCCCTAACCCTAACCCCAGCCCCACTCCCTTCCCACCACTACTGCAGCTGCTGGAAGCCCTCGGTCAAACTGCCTTGTGGCCCTACTTCTACCCTGCATTTGGGGGGGCTAAGCCCTGTTAGGCCCTCCCTACTGCCACCTATGCCTTGTATAGAGGCATTTCTAGTACTCCCCTGTCTCTACTGGCAGTAGCTGATACATGCTGGGATCCTGTTTGCCTCTTCCATAGCAGCAGTGCACTGATGGATCAGTCATCCTCTGAGCATTGGCTATATCCAGTCCTTTTGTGTCTTGTTCCAAAGCGAGCTCCTGGTTTCAAGTGAAAAGTCTTGTACCCTTTCTTGTTACTGGGGTCAGACTGAAAGATTAACTCCTCCCCATTCCCTTTCTAGCCTCTGAATTCCCCATCATCAGTGGTGAACAGACTGGTTGCTCCTGTCCCCACAGCATCTCTTGCCTTGGCAGGGAACCAGCAAGCCATCAACATGCTGAAGGAGCAAAATCGGCTTCTCACAAAGGTTAGTGTTGGTGGGTTAGGAAGTTCCTCCCCCAGTGGAGAAACATCAGGAGCTGGGGCAAAGCAAGGGCAGGGCAGCCAGAGACATGGGGCTGTGGGGAAGGGACCGTCTCAGAGAGGCTGCGAATGGGAAGCAGACTAAGAAGGGTGTGGGTGGGAGAGGAATCCTTTGCAGCAGAGATGCTTGGAGCCCCCACAACAGCTGGGGCTGCTCATACTATGCTAGGACAGTGGGGGCTCTCCAGGGCAGCAGCTGTGGCATCTCTCCCCAGCACAAAATTTGCTTTCTGGCTAACTGGAACACCCTCAGGTTCAGGAGAACTGAACATCTGAGGTGTTTTGGGCCGGGCAAGACTCCAGGAGGAGCTTACTGTCCTCAGCTGGCTCCTTGCCCTCATGAGGTCTCATCTCTTCTTCCGGCGCAGGAGGTGACAGACAAGAGTGAGCGGATCACCCAGCTGGAGCAGGAGAAATCCTCCCTGATCAAACAGCTTTTCGAGGCACGGGCCCGCAGTAACCATGAAACGAGCCAGCTGGACTCCACCTTCATCTAGCCTCCAGCTCCCCCTGAGCCCCTTGCCAGAGCTCTGGCGGGGAATAGTGCAGGGACCCAAGTGCTGCAGAAAGCGGCCCCCAGCCCCAGCACTTGAGTTTCTGTGGGTCCCAGGCTTCCTGCAGGTCCCTCTAGGGCTATGGCTCTTGTCTAAGACTCATCACTCTTCAGCACCTCAGTTCTGGCAGGGACTGTGATGCTGACAAAACACTTGGACAGACTGTCTGTGTGTCTGACAGAGAGAGACCCTGACACAGGCCTTTCTAGAGGCCAGTGGCACCTACTCTCCTACTCTCACTGGACAGCATTACGCTGCTGCTATTCCTGCCCTGAAACTCCAGTGATCTGCCAGTCTTCCGGCTTTGCTCTCTGGGTGCCTGGGGCATTGTCAGGCTCAGTGTGCTCCTCCCTCTACAGTTGGGCAGCACACCTGGAAGCTGGGATGGCCTTGCTCTTTTTTGCCTGACTTGGGTGAAGGCCAATTGCTGTGGGAAGAAGACTGTTTTCATTTAACACTCCATTGAGCACTGAGGGTACCAGGATACTTGCCTGCCCACCAGTCTCTTGCTTGGTTGTCCCACAGGCGTAGACTGGATCACCCATGATGGTATACTCTAGTTCTGCTCACAGCCAGTGCCCTGCCTGCTTGTGGCATCAAAATGAGACCTCACAACTGTGGCTGGCACAGCTCTTCATGGTACGATCATCCCTCATGGGTTTACACAATGTTTACACTTCAGCTGGCCTACTGAGTGAAGGAGGCAATTCCTACCTCTGAGCTCTTGTTCAAGCTGCCTGCAGACATTATGGACAGGGGGGAGTTTTTCCTTGTGACCAAAAGGGTCAAAGTTAATTTTTGAAATGAAAGGCTAGGATCTGTAGCATGACATAGCAGTTAGTGAGCCCCTGAAGCCTCAGAGCAGAGCACCCATAGGACTAAGAAACCTCCTGAAAGCATATAGGCTCTTCCTTTTCCTAACCCTGCCCCAGCTGGGGAAAACATGGCTGTCTTGCACCTCTGAACATAGCAACCTCCTTTGTGACCTACATCCCTCTTCTATGTTTACATGGCAGGTAGGGTTTGGGGAAGCAGGTGCTATGAAAGAGGGGGACAGGCACTGCTCATGGCATCTAATTTCATGTTTATGGTCTCATTCACTGAATCACCTAACAGGGCCTGGACATGTTCTGTAGAGTTCTCAGTACAGTGAAGGATGCTATATTGTAGCCCAACTCCTGTTTTCCTTCCCTGGGAGCTTTTATCTTCCCAGCTGCTACCCTTTCCAAAGTCCAGCCTCTCTCCAAGTGTTTACCTTGATCCTTAGCATGTGACTTCTGCCTTCTGTACAAGTGCTGCTACAACAGCTAGGGTTGGGGGCAGGAAAGAGGAAAAAAGTCCAGAGGGTGCTGTGTGTTCCTGTGGCTGTTCACATGCACTGGGTCTAGTCTTTACTCACCAGCACTCGGGTGGAAACAGGTCTCTGCTGCTTACCTGTTGCTCAGTCTCCACAATGCCTCCATTGAACTGATCAAGTCTTCAGCAAAGAGGCTGTAAGATGTAGGCCTCTTACAGCTACTCTCTTTGTCTTCAATTAATCCAGTTGGTCTCCATTAATAAAGCTGCTAACTCCATTCCCACTCCATCACCTCCCTATGCCTCCCCCACCCCCCTTTTACCCTCCTCCCACATCTCAGTTTATGTAGGATGGACCTTTTTTTTCCAGACATTGCAGCTGAGAGAGCAGCATAACATATTTTTCTGTAGCCTGCCTGACAACCCAGCCCCCAAAAGAACAGCCGTCTCTCAGGAAGAGTATGGAGCGTACAACATACAGCACAGTGGAGCCTGAATACCCACAAATGATTCTGGGTGTTGCTGCAATAGTAATAAGGGCCCTTCTGCAAACAGAAAATCATGATGGAATCTGGTTACTGGGCACAAGCTGCTTCTGGCAATAAGCACTGGTTCAGCCAGAGGGTCCTGACAATAGCAGCAGGAGACTTGGGCTCTGAGAGCCAAACCTACCCATTTCTGGTAAGGGGGTGAGACTGAAGCCTGGTTTTGTTGTTCTGGCCATTCACCAGGTTTCTCTGCTGTGTGAACAAGCTGAACTCAGAGGCCTCAGCCTCCTGGTCTACAGAGATGCTGTAGGAAGACCTCAACGAAGGGAAGGATTTTAGGTTTCAAGGTAATGTTCTGGTGCATGTCTACAACACAGCAGGTTCCCCGGGACCTTCCCGCTCCCCTGTAGCCATCCCGTTGAGATCTCCAAGCCCTGCTGTCCAGAGCCTCTGGGGGTCCCCTTCCCTTCTGTCCTGAACTCCCTGCTCTGCTCTCAGAGCTGCCCTACCTCCCACTGCTATGGGCATTAGGAAGTCCCTACCTTAAATGTTTACAGCCTGGACTAGCTGCCAGTCCTGTATGTAGCAACAGCTGCTCCCTCGGGGAGGTTTTATTGTGTGTATGAATGACACTGTGATAGCTCACAATCTCTTTTTATATTTCAAATAAACACCAGAAAGAATCTCAAGGGATCTGTATTTATTCTCTCTGCAAGCCCAGGTGCTGAGACCCATTTGCGCAGTCTGTGGCTCAGGTTCTGATTTGCTGCTGGACAGCAACCCTGTCCACCGAGTCCTAGTTCCTGCCAGAGGAGGGAGCCCTGCCATGGCGCATAGGCTGCACAGGCTGGTTTCTGAGAGCACAGTGAGGCTCTCTGGGCTGCTTTTCTTCATCGTGTGCAGGATCAAATCTGCTTGAGAGAGGATTGGGATAGAAATTGGTCCTTGCTCCTAGTGAATTGGGGATGGAAATCAAGGACTGGTGATACAGGGTCAGAGGCCAGGTGTTTCTGGCTGGGGTGAGGGCTGATTGGGAGCAGCTGAGCTAGCATATAATCAGTGGGTCCTGAAGAGGGTTTTCTTTACATGGCTTGTACTAGGCTGCAGGAAAGGAAGTGGGGGATTTTGGCTGATGGGAGGATGCTAGTTCCCCTGATATCTTTGCACAAGATAGGTCAAGCTCCAGGCTTTATCTGTAAAAGCATCAGAGGGGCTGCATCCTGACAAGGTGGCTTTGCTGGGTTGCTTATCTTAGCCGAGTTGTTCCAAGCCAACTCAGGATGGTGGAGAGTAGCCAGACCCCCTCCTCCCCGGACCTCCTGCTCTCAGCACAGGCTGGCAGCTGCTCTGAGCCACTGCCTGGGAATAGGGCTAAGCTAGTGTACTAGTTTGGGTATCTGCAGCTGTGAAGTGAGGCCTAGTTGTGTCACAGGGTAGAGGGAACTTTCCACCAAAGTTGCTGAGCTAGGATCACCAGACTCTGCCACTTCTGTGGAAGGGGAACAGGAACAAGGTGAAGTAGGAGGGAGTGGTCACCTCTATCTGCTGGGAGTTGCTTTTCCTTACCTACATAGCTGTGGTGTGTAATGTGTTTTCCATTAGTCGGGTATACTTTCTACCGACATCTGAGTCACCTCTGCACCTAGCCCAATAAACACGCTAGCTGCCCTGCTGTCATCCCAGGCACAGGCAACAGCTAATGCAAATGCATGCACTTTGCTCTATGTGGTGAAAGGTGCTAGCCCTGACTCAGATCACTGCTATTGGAGAAAGGGGCTCTGCTGTGTTCTCCTAGCAATTTCCTTCTTCCAGCCCTCATGTGCTCTGGCAGCAGGAACACCCCAGCTAATCTTATCACACCTGCCAGGCACTAGTATGTATGTATGTATTAGACACAGATATGGGGACAGAGGTAGGTCCTGCTCTGCCCCTGTGGGAAGCCATGTTGCCAGGCACTCAGCCAAGCCTGTCGGGCAAACGTGCAGGGAAAGTGCCTGGTGAATCGCTTGCGCGCTGACTCAGCCTGGAATCTGGGTGTTTCCTCATTGCCCGAGACAGCTGCTCCCCATGGACCAGCCCAGCTGGGCAAGACTTGCAGCCAGGACTACGATGTGGGCAGTGCCACGTGAGCTGCTGCTGCTCTATCCCATGCAGTTGCTTCAGCCTGAGATGCAATGAGGTAAGCAGTTGGCTGCCATATCTGCTTCCTTCTTGGCCTTGACTGAAAAAGCTGGTACCTTAAGGGATGTGGTTGACCAGGAGCAAGGCTGAGGCCACACAGACTTTTCATCTGGGACATGGAAGAGAGTGCTGTGGCCACCACTGCTCTGCTGCCCTGAGCAGGGACAGGTGGCCTAGAAATGAGAGGTGTTTTTCCCCACTAACAAACCACTCCCTCATCTCACTCTTCTAATTAAGCCATCAGGTCTTAATTAAGAGTCAGACAAGCTGCTCTCACACCTTGGAAGTGGCATTTTCACTCCTGAGCTCAGTAGACCCTGCTCTGCCCTCCAGTGGGCGAGCTCGTCTCTGAGGCACAGGATTAGTCTTTACTTTACAATAGGGAAAGGAGGCTTAGCAAGGGGACTTGCCCAAGGCCACCCAATGACTCAATAGCAGAAAAAATCCATTTCTCTCATCTCCCAGACCTGGGCATTAATACTAGAGCTATCCTGAGGTCTAACACCACAGCTGCGCAATAGGTCTGCCTTCCCAGCCTAGCAGAGTCATAGACAGGAAGAGTGTCTCAGTGGTTAGGGCAGTCTGCTCTCCTGGGCTCAAGGGAGTTGCATTCAGCCCTCTGCTCTGGCGTAGGTGTCCTGTATGACTTTGGGGCATGTCATTTAATCTCCCTGTTGCCCAGTTGTAAAAAGGGCCCTTTTGAGGGGTGTTACAAGATGAAATGCAATAACCAGTGCAAAGTGCTCTGATGTGGTGGCAACAGAATCAAGTCATAAAGGCGCTATTGATGTTGCCCATAGTGCCCCTCTAGCCAGCAGTGTGGCCTGTGCTGGATGGGGTCCAAGCACAGCAGAAGGATGCTGGCACGTCATTGAAACCACATCCTCTTCCACCAGGCCTGGATTTGGGGCTGCCCATTAGATTCATGGGCCCTTGACATCCTGTGTGTAAACTGCTCCTAACAGCCACATTTCTATAACCTCTGACTAAATCCATTAGCAATTGCTTTCAAGTGACAGACAGCAGCTTCAAAGTCCTGGCCCTGTCCTGGGTTGGCGGTTGTCCCCAGTTGTTGGCTGTTTCATGACTGTCTTTGGGTCTGGAGTCTCTGAGGTTGCCCCTGTGACAGAGGTCATTGTCCCCTCTGAATGCCGCCTCTGTGCTTGGAGCCCCGGTCAGTTCAGCCACTGCCCTTATCCTCTCCTGGCAGAGGAGAAAGAGCTGTCCAAGCCCGTGGGGCTTGGCTTTGCCTGCTTTGGACTCTGTCCAGGCAGGCATTACTCTGCAGGGCTATTGCTGCTTAACTACTCAGCATGGGGAGCTGGAGCAAGCAGCTGCTTCTGACCTGACAAGACTTGGATAGGAACTGTGCAGGGATCTCTGGGCTCCATGCTCCTCATTGCTGACCTGCTGCACTCTTGGTTGTTCCTTCCTGAACAGCTCTGGAGCCCAGGGGGTCTTCATGGAGCCAAGGATTGTGGAAACTGCCAGTCTCCAGCCCCAGAGTAGAGCTACCAGGTAGATCCACCCTGGAACTGAGGAGCCTGAAAGTAGTACAGTGCCCAGTTTGGGGCAGCTAATAGATTGGGAAGGTCCTCCAGCCTGACAGACTGGTAAATTTAACCCAATAACTTGGCTCAAGCAAATCTTCTATCCAGAGGTGGAGAAATCCATTCCCTACCAGTGCTTTGTAAAGAGCTGAAATCATACCCCCAGCTCCTACTGACTGATCTTCCTTGCACATTCAAGGATTGCATTAACCCTTTTTGCTACTGCAGCTCTCTGGGAACTCACTTTTGAGTTGCTCGTCCACTGTGACTCCCAAATCCTTTTCAGATTTTCCTTCTGCCTCAGGCTCAACCAACAGTCCTTCAGGCATCCTAGCTTGCGTGGGCTAGACTCTATTCTCTCATAGGCTGGTGTAAATCAGGAGCGACTCCTGAAAGTTGGTGGAGTTACACTGGTGTGAATGAAATGCTAAAGTCGGTGGGATTGAAGTCAACAGCACGACTCTTGGCCTAGTCCAATATTTCTAATCCAGGGATTTCTAAATGTAGCAGAGCATAAATTGGGGTGGTCCTGGGTTTCTCTGTGGCTGCTGGAATTGCCTCAGCCTTCTTAGGTCTTGATCAAGTCTCATTTGTTCATGTTGGGGCTACAGATCCCTGCCTAGTGTGCATACTGGTGCAGTCTATTTAAATGAGCCTTATCCAATGTACAGTACACTGAAGCCAGCTGCTTCCTCCTCAGAGCAGAGCTGCAATGATGGGGGTGAGATGGGGATGGGGTTATTGGAATTTCTGAATCACTGTACAGCTGCATGTCATGGGACCATTCAGTTCCTGTTCCCAATTATGTATGTGCACAGCTGTTTCTAACTTATATCCAATCCCTACTCTCCCTCTGTAAGAAGCAGACAACAGGGGCCAAGCCAGGGCCCACCCATCCCTCCACAAGGTGCCCTAGATGTTATCCAGTAGGAGAGGAGTCAGCACCCACCTGAGACAGAGCAGTTTGGTGCTCTGACATCTCAGTGTCTTGCTACCAATACAGCTTGGGTGGTGCAAAACCCTTCTTTCCTCTTAGTACCTTTTGCATCATGCAAACCTGGCTTGAAGGCTTGCCTTGCTGCTGGAGGTGACCATCCCCTCCCAGGACTTTTCCGGGATCTGGAAAGTTGGACATTCCCCTGAACCAGCCACGCAACCGTTATGGGTCTCAGCACCAGGAGTGGCTCCTCTGAAGAGCATGGTAAAGTTTCCAGGGGGCCCTCTCTTCCAGTTAGCACTTTGGGCAGTGTGCTTGTTACCTTTCACAAGTCAAGCAGGGCTAAATCTAGTCAGTATTTGCCAGTGTGGGAATCTCCAAGAGGATGCCACAGAACAGAAGTTTTTGTTCTATCCCACCCTAGGTCTTTGCCTTCTAAGACCAAGTCAGGGTAGGGCCATCTCATGAATGTGATGTCAACGCTGTTGTGTGATCATGTTTTATCTGCCCCCAAAGTATCGTTCAGCACAGTAACAGTGTCTTGCAAAGCCCTCTCCAAAACTGTGCCTGCTTATGGAAAATCAGGATGGATGGCTCTGCCCACTGAGTCAGGACTGAACCCATGTCTCAGCCTGGTGTTGGAGGAGCCCACACCAGCTGTGTTTCTGGAAGCATCACTTCGTGTGTGAGAGTACAGCCATGTGCTGGGTGGCTTGTAGTAATCAGAGCTCCCATAGACCTCAAGGACACTTGGACCAGACTGGCACCCTGGGTAAATTCACTGAAGGACTTCTCAGTTCACCTCACAGGGGCCACATTTCAGCAATGGGTGAACATCCACTGATAGGCATAATATGAAACCCTAACCAGACAAACCATGGTCTTTCAACCTCTCTGCCTGAGCTTTTCACTGCGGTAAAATAGGGTTGGTTATACTGACCCATCTACCTCTCAGAGGATGCCTAAGCCTGAGCCTCAGCCCATGTCAAAGAAATTTGAATCAAC